TGGGGCAAATTTGGCTATAAGTTCAAGTGTAAATGAATGAATGTGCTTTTAAACTGTGTTTAAACTTACAGTCACATGCTCTATCACGTCTTTTGTCCATTTTTGCGTTGCTTAGTTTTCCCGTGTTGGTATTGTTTCTGTACCATTTTCATTAACGCTGCATCAGGATCGTCACTCCTGCTGTTTTCGCTCTGCAGTTTCATTGAAGAATACTGGAAAAGCACCACATACTTAACCTAAACCTCACAATACATTTTAAAAAAGGTTCTCCCTTGAAAGGTTTCCTGCCAAAGAAAGTGAAACTGCAGAAGATGACACCAGGTGCAACTCCTGTCAGGAAGCCTGCAGGACTCAGTCTCACCAGACTGAACAACAGAGGCTGGAAGTGTTGCTGATCTGATGAGCCTCGGTTTCTGTTGGACTTCAGATACAGTCAGAATCGGCTATGATCAACACAGAAGAAAGGATCCGTCCTGGCTCGCGGGATATTTCCTTGGTAAACTTTTGTATCAAAGTAGCAATGTTTACATGCATAAATCCCACGAAAACCAGCTGCTACAACCTTCCTTTACAACTTGAATTCATCCATTAAATGACCAGAGTCTGCTCTATTAGATTTTTGTTTGCTCTTTATATAATACCTCCTGTAATGATTACAAACATCTTTTCATTTCTACCGTATATCCACATAGTAAAAATAACATTTTGGCAGGGAGTTGATTTCCATCTTTTTCTGCAACATCTGCACCCTTATTGTTTTCCTGTTGGACTATGACCTTCAGCATCCTACACCTGCTATGATGTGTTCACTTTATAATATCCAAGCAAGCTCAGTGTGGTGTATACAGGAGTTATCTTAACATGAACAGACAGAAAATCTGTTTTTTTTCTCTTAAATGTCAATACTTTGTCACTAATTACTCAACAAGCTTGACTACTGCAAAACCTTTCTATCTAGTCTGCCTGAAATTGTTATAAATCATCTCCAACTAATCCAGAATCCTACAGCCGAGTGCCTACGAGGGCCAGAAGGAGAGGAAACATATTACAGCAGCTCTGAAGTCCCTGCAGTGGCCACTGTCAGTGACCTTATTGACTGCATTTCTTTTACTTGTTTTTAAAGCACTTCATTGTCTTGCTCCACTATATATGTCTGACATGCTGACAGTGTATGAACTAGCAAAGACCCTCAGGTCCTCCAGCACAAATCTGCTAGTTTTTCCAAAGTAAAGGACACATGGGGAGGCAGCTTTTAGCTTTTATGCCCCGAGCTGCTGGAGCAGTCGGAGTGGAGGAACTGAGAACAGCCGGAAATGTTGAGAACTTGAAACTCAAAACCCGTCTTTGCTCATTTAAAAACTATTTGAATCTGTTTATCTGTATTTGTTTGATCTCATTACATGTTGCTTTGTCCTGCTATGGACTTGTTGAACCACTCTGGCCTGAACTAACCTGCAAGAAGTCGTTAAACGAGTAAAGTTTCAGGGTTTCTGCAGCAGATCTGTGCCGTGGGATCTCATTGCTCCCTGTGAGAATTCTTCCTGCTTATGTTGAATATAGAAAACATCTCCACAGTATGACCTCACTGTATAAACAGAGTCCTTGTTCTCAGACTGAGAAGGACCTGTCTGTACCGTCAGCTTCACTAACATTGCTGGTATTTCATTGAGTTGTGTGAACTGGGTCAGACAACAGGTGCATAAAATCAAAGCTGCTGCCTCTAAAGTCTGTCATTTGCATGTTTCTTGAGCTGAACGCTGCAACTTAATGCTTGAAATCGGGCATTATTCTACCATCAGAACAGAGCACGTCATCTTTGGGTGCCAGCTAGCGAGCTACCTTTCTGCTACCTTCTAATCCTCTTTTCCATGGAAGAATGTTCTTTTACCACCTTGGAGAACAGCACTGGAAGAATTTGGACTGTTTTTAACTCCCAGTGGTGCCCTGATGCTTGTTTGAAATTAAAGGAGCATGTAGATCCAGAAATGGCTAATAATGCCAGACGTAACAAGCAGCTAAACTCCAAGCTCCTGTTTGTAGTTCTGTGCTGGATGCAGTAATTTAAGTGCTGAAACTGGGCCCGAATCTTACCCACTGACTCCAGTGGCATGTAGGCTTGTTGGCAGGACACAGGGTCATTGCAGGTATCTCCTCCCTTCTGGTGCAGGTGGAATGAATCAAAGAACGAATTTCACACATTAGCTGTGTGATCAGAGATGAACGTGTGAGGGAAAAATCAAACATCTCTGCCTGTCTTTGTTTGACACACTGGGGGAAAATAGATTGTGGGGCAACGGTTTAAGAAGCAATGCTCGACATGATCGAAAACACGATACAACAGCTCCAGTTAAACAGCACTAAAGATTTGGTAACAGCTGTATTTATTATGCAGAAGCTTTCAAATGATTTTAAGTCCGACTGCATCAAAGAGAGCTGTCAAACAAAAACGAGATTAAAAGGAGAAATGAATCAACAGCATGCTTTGAAAATTGCCTTTGAGAACCTGATACTAGCTGAGGCTAATTGAGTTGTTTGTTGACGAGACTTGAGAGAAAGCCTGAGGCTTCCTTTCACCCTGCTGGCTTTGCTGCTTTACATCCAGCCAACTGCATGGAGGGGATTTCCTCTCCACTTTTTCCCCATTTGCGACGTGAAGGTGTCAGCTTCCCTTTGGAGGCAAGACCCCACACGTAAAACCTCCACTGCCCCAAAACTAAAAGGCAGAACCGCAGCCAAACTCTCTTTCACCCCTGACGAGTCAAAACATCCCCCCAGGTCACTGTGAGGTTAGGCAGGTCAAGCAAAGTAACAACAGAGCAGAGGAGCAAAATACATAAATCAGCACCCAGGAGACAGAGACGAGACAGAGAGGCAGAAAGATCAGGAAATGACAGTGTGAGGCTGGAGGTGTGATTTTCGCTGCAGTCACATCCGGAGAGGCAGTTTTCCTGTTAGCATTCAGGAGGCAGAGCTGGAGGTGACGAGAGAGCACCGTTTCTGCTGCAGGCGGTGACCCGAACGGCAGCAGGGAGGGGGGCGGCCGAGGTCAAGAGGGAGCTTACCTCGAACATAAAGGTTAGCCGGAGCCGAATAACGAGTCCCGGCGCTGTTGACAGCCACACACTCATATTTGCCCTGGTCCGACTCCTCGCTGTTTTCAATCTGAAGCGCTCCTGGGGAGGGAGGTTAAAATGTCACAGTTAAGATCTGCACCACACACGTGGAGACACACAGACACACTGTTAGCCTGATCGTCCAAACGGAAAGCTCCCCTTAACTTGGCTGAGCAGAAATCTGAATCCAAATCTATACAACAAACTAACATGTTTTCTTCAAGTCGTATCATTTGATCTTATTATTTATGACAACTTTAACAATTAGCTGTTATTGTGCTGACTCAGGCTTTCCAGCATTTTCTCATTCCAGGGTTTCAGATACTGACATTTGTCAAGATATGCACAGCTATGGTAGCCGTTCTGCGACACATCAGGTTTATGACAACACGTCTTTCACTCCCAACTTGTATGAAGTCTTCATATTTAAACCATAAGGTAACCTCTTGGTTTCTGCAGGCTACATTTTACTGAAGATGAATATTTTTTTAGCATCATCACGTTGTGCTTTTTGGAGCCAGAAGTAAGAGGATGGAGTGCTAAGATGTAAGTTAACACTAGTAAACGTGGTCAGAGAGCTGCATTCATAAACTGCACAGGTGCCACGCACGCACACAGGCATCTGCTGATTAGTGGCGTCCAAATTAAATAAAACTGGATCACAGACTCCTTGGATGTTCTATCTGCACAATTAACCACAAAAGCAAACCACATTATTTATCAGATAAATTCATTAAAAACAGATACTTTAAAATCTACAGTTTTCCATGTCAGCAAAGCATTTTTTAGTAAAGTTTTTTGTAAATTTATGAAAATGACTGTTATTCTTTGAACCTCTCATTCTTCTTTGATGGCTTTGAAAGACAAGAACTCCTTCAGTGTATCTTTGCAACATCAGACAGAAAAGCAGCATTCGACACCCTGGGATAGAAATGCACTGGCACAGCTGTCGCTGTCAACAGTATAGCTAAAATGTCTTGTAGAGACACAACCATGTAAATGTGATTCTTTTTTAAAGGGAGCCTGTTCTGATGTTCCTTATTTTCTGTCACAGATGTGCTGTGACAGAAAAACAAAAACACTTTTTTTCTGAATGAGAATAAACTGAGCGGCCAATTTAAGATCAAAAAAGGAATATTGTGAGATCTGAATCACGCAAAGCAACATTAGCTGAGCTCTACAATACAAACCTGGACCTGGAAATGAACAGAACAGATTCCATTTAATGAAACCGCTTTTGTTCAAATGGATGGAAATTGAAGACATTTGTTTGAAAATCTAAATAGGCGATGTGCTGCTAAACACAATCGGCCATGAAATGTAATTTCCTGTTTTTCTGGCAACACCGTTTCAAAACTGACTGCTGCACTACAGGATTCCCAAGAAGCAATCTGAGCTGTTTATTCTGACTGTCAGTCAAAACGCTTTCAAATTGTTGAACAGAAACAAGTGAAACAGAAGACTTTGGCCTAATTGCTGAAAGTGTCCCAGGGATTCAACAGCTTGTCATTTTCAGATGTTAAAATTTTATTGCATGAAACCCCCGACTGTTCAAAGCCTTCAGTAACTAAACTAACCTCCACCGATCACTGCTATAGAAACACACAATACATACCTGACATGGTGATCTACATCCAATCACACCAAAAAGCTTCTTTTGCAATTTCATAGCATTTAGAAACATGTAAAATGAGCTGTCATTGCTGAGGTTAGCTTTGAGAAAGAAGCAACATGTGTTTAGTAATAATGTGGTTTTATGTGCTGACCGTGACATACATCATGCAGTGTAGCAGCGCACAGTAAAAACTATGAGAAATAAAAATGTACATATTTCAGAATACAATCCTGAAATGCAACATGGGATGGGTGTGTGAAGCCGGTTTAAGAAAAGAAAACATGTGTGTGGCAGCATCCCGGGTGGATCTGGTGCAGACAGTGAGCCCAGAGATGGAGGAGGAACAACCTTCATCTGGGATGCAAGGACACTGTGCAGCGATGAATGTCCTCAAACAATCTCCCACTCTCTCTCGTTCTCTCCATCACACACACACACACAC